AACAGTTTCATGAGTAATTGAGCATTTGAAACCTTCTGCAATATAGTCAATTAGGCTCTTGTCATCACTCCTTTCCTCACCTTTGCCTTTCACATCCTGATTTCCCATTGCTGTTGTGTCTTGTGAATATTTGAAACACAGCCTTGATTCAATTTTTAGTTTTTTTTTCAAGTAATGGTAAATTTCCACAAGTTTTGGTATATCTTCCTCATCACAATCAATATCATCAAGTATTGTAACAAACAAATCCTTGTTTCTGGCTTCAAGATGCAATAAGACTTCAATTGACTTAACTTGGACAAACTCACTGACTGCATTGTTGAGTGAGTCTAATGCTAAGCAGTAGCAGATAGCTTGTGTAGTTGTAGAAAATGCATTAGTATTCTGGATAAGTTGTTGCACGAGATCTAAAATCCCAAACCAAAGTACATCACTAACTGCTTGATTATCAGCTGCATTATCAGAATAACACAAGCTGACATGAAACCAGAGAAATTCAAGAAATAACCGTTCTTTAAAAGCTGTTGGAATGCCATAATCTTTGTCCCGACTCCATTCATCAAGAGCCTTTTGTAATTTAATAAGTCTTCTCCAAGTTGTGTACCATTGTTTGCCTGATGATTCAACCTGGAATGCTTCTGCAAGATAATTCCATGCCCTCTCCAAGTCGAAATCACCAAGAGAAATGTCGACAGTAGTCATTTTAAGTCCAACCTCGGTTAAGGCAGGAACAGGAACTAGCAGTGCTTTTAATGCTGTGATGGCTCGATCTAAATTTGTCTGCTGGCAGTTTTTATCGTCACAAATACTATTTAACATATTTTTAATAATTTTGAAGAGATATTTATTATCGTAATTGCATTTAAAGCTTTTGATATTTCCGTTCGGTTCATTAGATTCTGCACAATTGCCTTTCCAGACTTTCCCTTCATGCTGCATGATTTTTTGGTGCGTCTTTTTGTACACAGAGATAGCGTTTCTAGTATCATCTAGAAATTGACTTGTAAATTGAGATTCGCGCTCACATAATTGCTCCAATATGAATATAACAATTCGTAATTGCCACTCTAACTTAACAGGCGCTTCTTTTAGAAAAACTTTGTCAGTTTTTTGAGGATACAAACTCTCCATAGCCGCGATCAATACTTCAGATGACACAGACGTTCCTTCATGTTCAAGAATGTATTTGAGTGCATAAAGATTCTCTAAACTATGTACGTTCACTAGCAATTCCCCTATTTGCGCATCTGCTGAGGTGTGTCCTTGTTCAATCAGGCGGTGTACAAGTGTAGGGAAATTTCCTTGGTTTACGGCGGCGTTGTTCAGCATTGATGTAGAAGGTGCCGTTGTAAATAGAGCACCAGATGCGCTTGTCGTGGAGAAATTCGTTGTATGATTGGTGGTTGTTGAGCTAGAAGTTAGTAAACCGTCTCGTACCAAGATAAAGATAACAGGGATTGAGTTTTTGGCTTCATACATACAGTATGTAACGGTTAACAATTAGCAAATGGAGAACATCCAGAGATTTTGTTTGTAAGCGTATAGGCTATTATTGAGCTGATATGTCGATACTCGCTGATAACTATGAAGTTTCTCATTGGTTAGCGTCCTGTTGTACTCCGGCGGTAGCACAAGACAGTTTACAATGTTAATTGTGGCAGATTTAAACGAACGGATTAAACCGATTTTTGGTCTTCTTGATTCACAATTGGAGTATTTCATGCGTTTGATACACAACTCATGTTTATATAAGTAATCTAATAACTAGAAACGATGTATGTAAATGAGGCCCATATTGGTAAATTCTATTAATGAGACAGCATCAATAACTATAACACATTCTCACCGTACTTCTTTAACAACAATATGAAATATGGAGTATACGGAATCATTAGCAACTATTGCTGGAGAACGGGTAGTTCAACATTAGTATTAGTGCAATGGAAATGATTCCAATCACTTTAACACGTACCATCATAGAGACTGCATTCCAAAGTTTTTATTATCATGTAAGAGAACCGCCTTATAAGGCCTGATGTGACCGATTATATTCGTTTGTGTCAATACTAATGAGGGCAGTTCTAGTATGAGATCGGAGCAGACAAGTAAGCTGTTAGATTACATTTACCGGAAGAATAACGATTGCTAGTATTGGAACAGGAGAATAGATTATTAAAACATATTTACCAGATATTGGAACAAAAATTAAAATAGGCAAATAACACTACATAGGAATATAATCCAAAAGCATGTTTCAAGGAAGGAATATTCGAAATTACAAACTGACTTGGTAACGAACAACAGACAAAGGTATTTGTGAACCGAAAACTGTAATAAGCATCAGCTTGATTTTGAAAAATGAAGATACTGTAACATCGGAATGTAAACAACCGGACAAATTAAACCATGAACCAGCGATACTATATCTTTTTTTTCTGAAGGAAGACGTCTCAAATTTATGAAAAGCTAGTGAATGCAGAAAAGCAATTTGGACAACGTTTATCTGTATTTCTAAAGAGGCATATTAATATAACTCAATTACAAAAAACGGGCAATTATGGTTAGTGCAGCTCGTTTATGAGCTTGAGAAATTTAACCTTAGAAGATACCGCTAATCCACAGACATTTCGCAAGGCTAACAACTAAATAGATAGCGCACGCACGCATACGATGTCTTAATAAAGAAATAACGAAGACAATACAACAAAATTTATTATCGCTAAAACTGATAACTTCTTGCAAACTTTGACATATTCATTGCATTGTCGTATTATTGCTAATACAACAGAATGAACTTGATTTTGCGTGCATTAAGCAATTAAATAACTCGGGAAAAATGAATGGCATGCAAGATGAACCACGCGCACGCCGTATAGGGACAACTCACCCGCATGGCGTAAATAGTATAATATGCTCGCTGCTCATAGAATAATATGATACTTATTACTACTTACCACGGGTATCTACGCAATAACGAATTGATCAGTAGCTATGGCAAAAAGAAAGTCTGCCGCTCATAAAATAATATAATACTTCTTACTTGTCACCATAATCAATTGTTTGCATCCGACACTACCATAATTGCCATCAACTACAAATTTGATAAAAAGGCGTCCAGTTAATTACAAATTTTACCAACTTGCGTTTATACTGCTCTTAGCCCTTATCACCCACTCACCGCGTTGAAGCACTCATCGAGCGGGAATAGAAGTAAGTCTCACATTACAACAGTAAACAGCAACCCCATCAAACAATCATACCGCTCTATCACAATAAGTGCTTAAGGCTTTTTGCAAATACGAGAGTCGGCTATCGCTTGTGGAATACTCTCCGTGGCCATGGACCTGTTTTGTCCGCGCTCGATTGTATCGATATTTATGTCATCTAAAAAAGCAGTTGAGAGTGAGTATTCTAATGTCTCATACGTTCATGCTTCCTACTCACATCCATCAGGGAACAAAGCGAGATAGAACCCAGAGATTAAACAGCAACCCATTCCATCACACATGCCTCAAACACACGGTTGTCACGGACACTCAGATCACATCACAGACACACGGTTATCACCGACACATGAGCTTCCTGAGAAGTGTTCTAATCTCCCACATAGAAGTTTGCATCCCCCTCCGATTTTATACCCTGGGGTAGTGTAGCACTTGGTGTGGTGCAAACTTCGACACATGACTATCAACAAAATTAACTCACTCTCCACTCTCACCTTTTGATAAGACCGTCAACATGCCATTGAGTACATGCACATTATTATTATTGGCATTACCTGCCGAAGTATGAATAAACGTACACGTTGGTAACTATCGCTTAACTTTGCTATCATAACATTTTGTAGCGTCGCGTCCGTCGTCGTAATAAACATTTCCCATTATTGTGGCAGAAACCTGGTTTGAGTATAGCGATAGGTTTTGAGAAAATTTTATCTCGAAGACTAGTGTTTGTTCACTGATGCTTCTTTTCAAAGTTTTCAACATCTACTAATGAGTGTTTGATATCACAGAAACTTGGTTTGATAATAAGTTTTTCGTTTTCGGTCATTGCCTTGGCCGCGAAAAAGTTTTGTATTTGAGAAAATGACTCACTAAAAGTTGCCTGTATTTATATACTCACGCCACATCCCTCCTTTTTTTTTTTTCCTACCTCCTTTTTTTTCTTCCACCTCCTTTTTTTTTCCCACCCCGTTGTCTTCCGTTATTGCATAAATTTACAGAATATCAAATTTGCTTTTTCTCATTACCGTTTCTATGCTGATGCGAACTTTCGTTATTTCTATGATGTTTTGTGTTTTCTTAATGTGTTAACTCAATTATTTTTCTCACGGCTCCTCCATGTAAGTGTCTACTTGAAGATTTCAAAAAAAGAAAACCTTCAAGCACATTCGAATGCAATCATTCGTTCAATTTTATTCTTATATCATGTCATATCATGCGTGTAACCAGCAAACACGATTGCCATTAATATGCCTGCTATAAATGACTGTTGTTATTTATGTATTAGTATGTGAATAATTATTAAGATAATATTTAGTTATTTCAAAACACTATATGGAAAATGGCAATTAATTCTGTTAATCAGAAAGAAATACAGATCAATATTGTCCAAACTGCCCTTGCCAACTTTTCAAAATCTGAGATGTCTTCCTTTAAACAAATATAGTATTGCTGATTCGCGGCTTATTTTGGGGTTTGACTATTATCTTCATTCCAAACCAGACTAATATTATTGCACTTACCGATTCACAAATACCTTGGCCTAACTGTTGTTCCTGGCTTATTTCGAATTATACCTTTGTATTGACAATTTTGATATTAACTACCCTGTGTGGCAAAACACTAATTATTATTCCCTCGGCCATTGATCATAAATATTGACACAAAGAGATATGATTGGCGCATCGACGATCGTCGTGCAATAATAGTTTATACGCACATATAAGCCCTTCTCAATGTATCTGTCCATAAAAGATACTTGGTGACAAACTCTTTAGAATGACACGTCCCTACGTTGATGATACAGTTAAAGCGATTGGAATCATTTCCATTGCCTTATTATTATTGAACTATTTGTTCCGAGTAAGAAACACTACCCGTCCGCTCCGTTACGGTTTAGATGTGTCGGAATTCATTAGCCATATAAAGTAACATATTACGTAAATTCAACAGACCATCTATGTTGCGTTCTTCGGACCGTTGAGCAAGATACCTGGACCAAAGCTTTCAGCGTTAAGCACAATCCCTCTGTTATTCAAAGGCACTAAAGGCAAAAGGTAATTACAATAATTAACTTTTTCTAGCTTATCTGTCATTATGCTGACTGTTGTTTTTCTTAGATGGTATTGGTATCAACATGAGTTAATACCAAAGTATGGGAAAATAGTCAGAGTAGGTAGGTTGTGTTAAAACTGTATCAATTCCATGGTATTATGGTAACTGACTCGAGATTTCTTAGCCCCAGACATGGTTCTTGTCAGCGATAGAGACATTATCAAACAGGTATAAAGTTAGTCTTATTGGCATACGGTTGGATTAGCGACAATTGCTAAATGATCTAGTATATTCCATGATCTCAGATTGTTGTCAAAGAAGTAAGTATGGAGAGAATGTCGAGTGCAGCGGTGTTGTTGACGTTGTCTCACTCGATATCGTCATATTTAATAGGATTGGCCAAAAGGTGACTTTTACAAGATGTACAGAGCCGCACCTCATTTACATACATTGTTCTCGACCACGTAAGAGTTTTATGGCTGTTATTAGGTTAATGATCTGAATCAGTGAATCGATCTTGTCGTTCAAGTTACGAATGCATAATGCCATATATGGTTCAAGAGACTGGATGTATTTGATAGAGAAAGCCGGCGCAAGCAATCGACGCTGCATACCGTTGAAATGTAAAAAGAGAACAATTATGTTGGAAATGATAATCCGCAGATGCTCAAGTATTTGCGTACTTACTCGTTGTTTATGAAATGCTTTGTCCCTGATTTTCGCGAATGAGAGTATCATGATTAGATGCGTTCGATATACAATTCATGTTCATATCATTAACCTAATAACA